CAGGAATCAAAGCTGAGTCTCACATACTCAGAGCTAGTGAGGGGGTTGTATGCCTTAGCCCTAATCACCACTTAAACTAGGAAAATTTAATTCCCCCAAGCAACCCAGCCTGAAGCAAACCCTCCCCAGGGGCACCACTGAGGGGGCAGCACTGAAATGTTTTGGATGACTCAGTCACCAGTTTCCAAATATTATCTAACTAGCTTCGCCCCCTCCCCTTCGAGTTCCCCTGCAATTATTCAGACGCTGAGGGCCTCGGTCTGGGCACATTTGGGCCTCCCCTCCTTAGATAAACCCAACTCTCCCGCTGCCCCACATGCTGCATCATAGGGGCGGTGGAAGGGAGTGGAGGAAGCGGACAGGCCGCGGCTCCTGCCCAGCGGACACCCGCAACCGAGGCCCGGGTGGTGGAACCCGGCTCCTACCCGGAGTTCCTTCCCGGAGCTAGAGAGAAGGGCGCGGGGGGCGGTCCTGCGGAGGACGCGGTATCTCGGAGCCCGCGCAGGCTGACGGACGGGCAGGGGTCGGGCCGAGCCCGGCCGCCTCACCTGCACTTGCGTCGGCCCGCAGGAGTAACGGCAGCACAAGCCCAAACACAAATCCCGGCGCGACCATGTTTGTGAGGAGCCCTCACCACAGCGAAGGCCCCGGGGCGGGGACGCCATCGGGGGCGGGGCCGGGGGCGGGGCCTACTCAGGGCGGAAAAGGCCTGACTCCGCCCTTCCCAGGCCTTTCAGTCCGCGAAGCTGTCCGCGGCCTCCGGGAGGGCCCGTGCCTCTCCTCGGCCGCCGTAGTTGAATGGAAAAAAAACAAAACAAAACACGGTTTCCCGGCAACGAGAAAACACAACCTGAACCATCAGCTCCAGCTCTGAGAGACCTAAGAGGTGAGGCGGTTTACCTCATTTCCTTTCCGAAATCGAGACCTCGCCTTTTCCCTTCGCCTCTCGTATTCTCTCAGGATCCCCGCCGCATTCCGGGAAGCCTAGGGCAGACTGGGAGCCAAGCAGCGAGTCCGAAATCCCAGATCTTCGCCGTGCCGCCCCCGACTAGACCTGTGTTCCCCCTCCGACCGCCCTCCACTCCCCACGTTAGTTCAGAGTCTTTTCCTTTTCACAACCCTAGAATGACTCAATGCCTCATTTCCTGTTCCCTCAAAATAAGAAGGAAAAACTCTATAGATTCGGCCTCATTAAACCGACTAGTCCCCCACCTAGACCCCTACCACGGCTTCCGGCCTTTTTCGGCTTTGATACTCTCACAAACAGGCCAGGTCCCTGACTGTTGTTTGCAGACTCAGTAGCCCATCCCTCTGCTTAGCAGCTATCCTTATCTGACCCTTGTATTCCAAGACAGGAAGAGAAGACCGGGTCGAGACAAAACCAGAAAATGTAAGCATCCCCAAACTTTGCAGGCTGGAACTGCAAAATCATGACCTTGCCCCCAGCCGCTCTGTCCCCACTGCGCCTTCCAGAGTATATAGATGCTTCAACGAGGCATTGTAGGTCATGCTTCAGAAGTGGAAGCTAAGGGAACGACTAAGTGTGAAACTTAATTCACTCGACAAATTAATTTCTATAACAAGGACTAGTTTTTTTTTCCTCTCTTTTTAAAATTTTAGACCTTAAACAGGGTCTTTTCGGCAATTTAAGATGAATTTTTAACAATCATTCTCTCTAAATTCCTGTGGGATAGGAAAAATTACCATTTTAAAGACAAAGAGGGAGGAAATTATTTTTCAAAAATAATTTCACCTATTAGATATTTTTAATATTCTAATAATGGAAAAATTCAAAACTCTTTGGAAGAAATGGATGGACTTGGGCTGTGTTGGGGAAAAAAGGACTGAAGTCCAGAAATTTGGAGTCTCAGAAGTAATTTGTTGTCATAGTTGTGATTATATAAGTAAAATCAGACAAATTTAAAGACAGTACTCTTTAATGAATCTCTAGGTACAATAGGCAGTTCCTCCCAAGGAGATGTCAATTCCATTCTCCAGCACCCACTACCGAATTCCACAAGGATTTGGGAATCTTCTTGAAGGGCTCACACGTGAGATTCTGAGGGAGCAACCGGACAATATACCAGCTTTTGCAGCAGCATATTTTGAGAATCTTCTAGAGAACAGAGAGAGTAAGCTTTTTTAAAATAGGCATTTTTTTAAAAATAAGAGACTAAGCATTTGATTATGGTGAGACCTGCTTAAGACCATTCCTATTCCACAGAAAGCCTTAATGGGGCAGGTATCTTCAACTAACAGTTCTTGCTATTTGAAACAGCATGTGCCTTTTTGACAGGCTCTCTTAAATCACATTATTTCACATTATTGAAGATTTTACCGTTTATCACTGAGACCTTCTTCTTTGTATTTCTCACGGACACATGGGGTGGAAGGGGAGCTCAGGAGAGCACCCACTCTAGCTGTCTGTTTTCCAGCAGGCTGTTCCTATGCCTCCCAGGCAGGTGACTGTCTATTCTTCCTGGGAGGAGAGTTTATGGTTTTCTTTACATTTTGACTCTTTTTACTTGAAAGTATTATTAAGTGTTGTAAAAAAATAATTCTATACTCCTTAGATTCAATAAGTTGGTATTCACAGGGGTATATGAAACTGTTCCTCAATAAAGGCACAGAGAAAAACTGAAGTTTTCAAAAGTGAACTTCCAGCTTGGGAAGGTAATTTTTATTCTTTTTCTATATTTCCAAGGTCCCATCCTGTCCAGAGACTAAGATTCCTGCCAACAGTGACTCTTCGGTTGAGAGCTAAAGCAGAGTTTCTTCACTTCCATAAATAAAATTTCCAAATTCCCAGCCTTGAAGGTTCATGACAATCAAGACCTGACCCACTGGTCAAAATGAGAATTATTACAGCTATAAGTTTCTATTAAAAACCCTGACTAGAACAACCATTTTGTTTAAGCTGTCATCATTACTTTTGATTACAGTATTCCAACAGAGTAGTAAACGTGACTAGAAATAGTCACAAGCAAATAAACATTCCATTTTTAATCATTTTACAATTTATTGTTACTTGAGGAAGCAACCCAAATATTCATCATAGAGGATTTTTCGAATAAACTTGAGTACATCTACACTACTGACTAATGTATAGCTGTAAACAAACAAACAAAAGTGGAACGAGGAAGATCTCTATGATGTTATGCAGTGACCCTCAGGATATATTAAGTGAAAAAAGTAAGGTGGAAAAAAATGTATTTAGTATGCTACCAATTATCTAACAAAGAGGTCTTGATATGAATATATAACCGTTCATTTATATTTTTTAAATGGAAGGATAAATCTTTAAAAAATTAACATTTACCTCTTAAAAAAAAAAAAGCAAAAAAACATTTACCTCTAGCAGGAGAAGGAACAGAGAGCAGAGGGAACAGGATAGAAGCTAGACTTGTCTGAATACATCTTAAATTCAAAATCATATATGTTTCACATAGTTATAAAATAGAATTAAATTTTTTCATTGTTAAGCAATTTCTAAATTTAGAAGCAAAGTGAAACAAATGAACCTAACTAGTATTAAATTGGTAACATAACCACACAAAAAAGAATTATTTCAAGAGAGTTTATAACACAGTACTTTGTGCATTCCTGGTGGATATAGCCTAAAAATAAAATGAAGTTTTAAAAAGAAATCTTAAATTGTTTTCAGTTATCACTGAAAATAATAATATTTAATAATATTATAGTGCAGTTATTCTGTAATTTTTATATATTGTAGAACATAGCAAATAAGCAACCTACTGTTATTAGGAATAGGATTTTTAGTGTAAGAAAAATGATATACAAATATAAAAATGAAAGAAGTTAATAAAATCCCATAATTCTAAATTTGAATCGAAAAATATCATCAGACTTCATGATATATTTTCTCTTTGAAAAGTGAAAGTATTATTTTCTAGCTCTCTATATTTTTTAAAGGCTTCAAAACAATGACCAACCCAGTACCAGTGAGCACCTAGTCCATAGACTTTGGCCTCCAGCTACCATCTTCCAGGAACCAGAGCTTCTTGGAGAACTAACCAATCCCATAAACTGGGCAGGAAATATGCAAGATGAGCCTCAACACCTTGCCATACCAGAAAATAAGAAAACTATCAAAGATTATGAGTTGTTTCCAAAGGACTCAGGAACATCTGAGCACCTGAATAAGCTCCTACTGGCCAATTTTGGACAATTAGAGCATCAATAAGGTTAATAAATGCAGTGGATTGAAATTCGTTCAATTTATTAAATATTCATTAGTTCATAATTATTTACTAAAAAAAAAAAAATCAAGAAAACTCGTTGAGAGGATCCTAAGGAACCAACTGATTAATCTGAAAACTGGTAAAAAAAGGAAAAGAATCAAACCTTTAACCTGCCTTTTATGTAAGAACTGTATTTCAGGGTAACCAAACAGGGAAAGTATTTTTTATTGAGTACTCCAGAAATAAAGAAGTAATGATCAAATTAGAACATTGCCATTTTGCAACCCTAAAGAAATGATCTAAGCAGTCATCATCAATGGGCCCATAAAAATTGTATAAAGAGAAACAACCAGATATTATATATCTCCTGGCAGAATTATACCGCACTACTTATGAAGTATTCTTGAAAAAAAAAACCCTCAAACCTGAATCAGATAAGACCTATAGATCTAACTGGCAATCTACAGGAAATTCAAAGGCAGAGGAACTTGGTAAAAAATCATAGTGGGAATGAAATCAGATATCTAAGCTGTGGAAAACTCCAAAGGAAAAATGACTCAATTTCCTCAACAAACAAATTGCAAGGAAAAAAATGTGGGGTGGGAGGTAGGGAGGTTTCAATTATAAGAGATTTAAAAGACATAACAAAAGGCTCTGTGTGCCCATTGTTTGGGTCCTGATTTGAACAAATCAGCAGTAAAAAAATAAATAAATAAATTTATTAGACAATGGGAGAAATTTGGATAGTTGATGATATTAAGGAATTATTGTTAGTAGTTTTAGGTGTGATAATGGTATTGTGGCTTTACATCTTAGAGACGCATACTGAAGCAAGTATTTGTAGATAAGATAGTAGGATGCCTGGGATTGGCTTGAAAATAATCAGAAGAAAGGGCAGGAAAGTGAGTGAAGTTACAAATAAAATAAGATCAATCATGAGATTATAATTGTTGAATCTGAGTAACGTGCTCATGGAAATTTGTTATTATTCTCTCTACTTTCTAAGTCTGAAATTCTTCATAATGAAAAGTTAAAGAAAAATTCTGTTTAAATACTTCTATGTCAACTGACTGCATAAAATGCCTAATTTTTAAAAACTTCTCCCATCCTTCGCTTTTCCAAACTTCCTTACTATTTAACATTTATTTTTGTTACATTTTCCCCCGTTTGCTAATACATAATGTTTCCATAATTATATAATGATAAATTTCTATACTTATATTTAAGTATTAGCATTTGTTCTCTGTCTCTCCCATTTTACTGTAAACTCTGAAAGCAGCAACTAGGTTTTTTAACTGCCTTTCTAAATATCCTCAAGGTTCATCTAATGTTTAATTCATCATCATATATTTAATAATCACTGGTTATATCTACAGCAGTAGGCTGTGTACAGCGTCAATAAAATTTTCGACTGGCAGTAAAGGACCTATAATTTGAAAAAGAAAACATTTTATGTTACTAGTCTACATTTACTTTAGTGAACTCAAAGTAAGTCTGAAATTATTATATTTTTGTTATTTAGAAACCAACTTTGATCCAGCAGAATGGGGGACCAAGGTAGATGACCGCTTCTATAACAACCATGCATTCAAGGTATGGTCCCGTGAAGCTATTGGATTTGGTTAATTCTTCTCCCTGTCTCCGATACAGAGATTATTGGGATCTCCCAAAATCATGAATATTGTGAGAGGCATCACAAATATCTTATGAAACCTTTTTGATTGTGCTGTTCTTTCTGGCAAGAAATTCTTTTCTAAGGTATCTGCATCGTGTACAGTACTTAGCTTAAATTTAAAGATGATCAACAGGAAGCATGTACTTAAAAGTGATAGAATAATTACTTTCATTTGTTGTTCCAATGTTAATGAGTATCACAGTGCTTATCAATAGCAGATACACAATAAATATTGATTGAATTAATGAATGATATTTCATAAAATAAAACGCTGTTTGTCCAATTATTTCATTATCATTGATGTCTTACAAAAGACTGATTAGAATTAAAGATGGTAATGGTATAGAGTCTTCTCTATTAAGCCAATCTGTTCAGAGAAAGAATCCATCTTCTCTTTAGCAGGATTCTCAGAATCTGTCTTTCTCAACCAAGACGCCTCAAAATAATTAAGCCCTAAGCCAAAGGCATCCATTGCACGTAAGGAATCAATGTCTCTTCTTTGTATCTAGAATGATTCTATTTATGTACCATCCTTTGGAAAATTGAGAAAAATAATCACTTCAAGAATTCTGTGTTCCATGATCCCAATGAGGAACACCAGTTGAGAAAGGCTGTGTGTGATCCAGCGTCATTGCCTCCAACTGGCAACTTGGTGGAAATTCAATCTCCGGCTCTACCCCAGGTCTACAAATCAGAGGTTAAGTTTTAACAAGATCCACACAGTAACTTGTAGGTACATTAAAGTCTGAGAAGCAGTACTCTAGGCAAGTATGATAATACATTAGCCATGAAGCAGCAGCAGATATTAGAATTAAAAGGAGTTAACAAAGGTCAAATTTTGATGGTGTTGCACGGTAGATTTGGGGGATTTCCTGAGGAAATCCCCCTGTCACTTATTCCATGAATTCAAAAGTGAAGTTCCATCCATCTGTGCCTGCCAGATATGGGGGTGTTCTGTTTATTTCCATTTAACTAGATTCTCTGTGTTCATGTTTTATTGAAATCAAAGGAATAATGTTGAAAATTTTTAAATCTTATTCACATAGCAATTTTAGAGTGGTTTTTCTTCTCTTTTGAATTCTAAAGGCTTTATTTGATTAGCTTATATGTCCTTAAATTTATGTTTTATGAATTAAAGAAGCTCTTCCCATAAGGTTGTAAATTAACCATGCTTCTATTCTGGAGTAATATTTCAGTAACCATGTCAAAATAGACAGCGCTGGTTTCCCTTTTTTTCTATTTAAATCCTTCCCTACAGCAAAACTTACCTCTTTGACTCAGTTTTTAATCTACAAACATCATTAAAAAGTCAACTTGACCTCATACTATGGAATACAATAGCATTTATTTCATTCCTGTTTGAGAAACTCTTGGCACCTCTTTTTTACTCCTTGCTCAGGATTCATTACAGCATCGTATCAACTTTTAGTATAAGACAATGGTTTGTTTTTAATATAAAACAATATTATACACATTCCAAAAGCAAAAGATCAAACTTTTTTTAACCAATTCCTTGGTCTTTAATATTTGTTTATGCATATTCCCTTGAGAGTTTTCTTTTATCCCTTTTCCCAACCTACTTTCCTTGTTAAAAAATGTGTTTAATTCCCACCACTTATCAATAACTTAAAGTAATATTTAATTACCTTTAAGCAGTTTGATCCAAGACTTTACTGTTCTGGAGACATTGTCTATTTGGCCCTCTCCCCTCTAGGAGCAAGAACCACTGGAGAAAAGTGAGCCTGGAAAAGAAAAGTCTCAGGCATCTATGAGAGAGGCGACAGCTGTAGTAAGTTATATGTTCCATATACTATTGGATTCCTACAAAGAATGACATCCCTCAATTTAAAATTATCCTCCAAACATGAATCCAGTCTGTTATCCATATTGCTAAAACCATGATTTTGCTTTTTAGATAACTAGCACCAGTGATATACTAACTGGTAGATCAGTTTTAGCCATACCTCTTATAAAGGAAAACTCATTCTTCCCCTTAAAAATAAAATCTTATTTTCCAAGATTATGGAAGAAGATTATGGATGGGAAAATCTCCCCAAGGGGAAGAACAGACAAAAATCACAGCCTCAGTCTTTTTTAAAAAATTTTTTATTGAGGCATAGTTGCTTTACAATGTTGTGTTAGTTTCTGCTGTACAGCGAAGTGAATCAGCTATGTGTATACATATATCCCCTCTTTTTTGGATTTCCATCCCATTTAGGTCACCACAGAGCACTGAGTAGAGTTCCCTGTGCTATACAGCAGGTTCTCATTAGTTATCTATTTTATACATAGTAGTGTATATATGTCAATCCCAATCTCCCAATTCATCCCACCCCTTCCCCCCACTGGTGTCCATACATTTGTTCTCCACATCTGTGTCTCTATTTCTGCTTTGCAAATAGGTTCATCTGTACCATTTTTCTTGATTCTACACATATGTGTTAATATACAATATTGGTTTTTCTCTTTCTGTCTTACTTCACTCAGTATGACAGTCTCTAGGTACATCCATGTCTCTACAAATGACCCAATTTTGTTCCTTTTTATGGCTGAGCAATATTCCATTGTATATGTGTACCACATCTTCTTTATCCATTCATCTGTCGGTGGACATTTAGGTTGCTTCCATGTCCTGGCTATTGTGAATAGTGCTGCAGTGAACACTGGGGGTGCATGTGTCTTTTTTTTT